ATACAGTCTAAATTTACAGCTCCATTCCATCCATCAACAAATGGTCAAGCTGAGAGATATGTTCAAACTTTTAAAAATAAACTCAAAAGTATGCTTTATGAAAAAGGAACTTTACAAGAAAAAATATCAAGATTTTTAATGACTTACAGGAAAACACCTAATAATACTACTGGATTAAGCCCAGCTGAAATGATGTTCAAGAGACTATACAGAACAAGAATTGATTTAGTAAAAAGAGATTTAACTTCAAAGATATATATAAAACAAAATACAGAAACAAAGACAGAGGAAAAGGAATTCAAAGAAGGAGAGAGAGTACAAATAAGATTCTATGATACAAATAAATGGAAATTTGGAATAATCATAAATAGAAGAGGAAAATTACATTATGAAATAGATGTAGATGGAAAAATACATATCAGACATACAGATCAAATAAGAAAGACATCATGCTTACAACCAAATGATTATCAAAGGAAAAATTACTTACCATTTACTTATCATAAAGAAGTTCAACAATCTGCACCAGAAATGACCTGTGAAAAGAAATCACCTGAAATAAGTCTAAGTACATCACCTAATGTGGAAAAGGTACCATCCACAAGTTTTACCAGTACACCACAGAGAATGGAAGCACCAGCTGCACCATCACAGCCAGATATAGAGCCTAGATCAAGAAGTCAAAGAATACGAAGACCTCCAAACCGCTTAAACCTGTGAACCATGGAAATACAGCAAGGGGGAGTGTTACGTACTATGTCCATGACAACTCAAGTCAGGAGTTACGTTCTATGGCAAGATGATTCAGGGATTGTCTATACTTAAGAATGGCTGTCAGGACAGACAGCCATTCTTAAGTATAGACAAGGTTAGGTTACATGAGAATTGTAAAGTAATTTGTAAAGATTTATTAATAAATAAAAAGAATCACGTGCATTACTGATTGTAATTATCCAATTTACCTACGCAATAGTTTTAGTGTTTACAAACACAACAATTAATAAATACTTATATATATAAAAAGCAAGTTATCGTCATTTATTGATGATATTTCCTAAACCTATTTTTCAACACTCTCAAAGTCTACTAGTAATATAATCTAATCAAATAAATACTAATCTCGAGAACGAGGCGCGAAGTATAATTAATGATTAAACGAACTTACCAAGTGAAGTTCTGTCATAATTATACGAAGCGCCTCGTTCGAAGAGATTAGTAAACCCGCCCATCCCTGTGAACATTATTCCCAATACTAAGCTCTCCGGAAATACATCAATAAACCAGATCTATCTCTAAACTTAATGAAGATGGCAGGGAACGGTATCGACTAAGAAGATGAGAACTACCCTCGTAATAAAAAAAAAGCAAATGCAAAGAAATCTCAACTATAGTGCCGGAGTAGTGACACATATGCGATACTACTAGTAATATAATCTAATCAAATAAATACTAATCCCGAGAACGAGGCGCTTCGTATAATTATGACAGAACTTCACTTGGTATACTCCATTCATTATAGCATTAGATAGAAGTTAAATAAGGCTCTTTTTATGGTATACTTTGTGACAAAATATCAATAATCATGTTACTCTTAAAATTGACTGCTAATTTGCTACATATCCGTTTAAATACCAGCTGCTACACTTAAGTGTTGTTGTTTAAGCTATCTATTAACCAAATTTATAAGTATTTGACTAAATAAAATGATTTAGGGGTGTAAGGGGGTCCGAACAACATCTAACGGATCCCAAGCCAACCTCACCTGCACGCGGTACACCCTGCCGACTAACCAACGAGGCTCTGGCGCTCCCCACCAACCCGCATTGGGCCAGCGTGGTGGGAGACGGCCCAAAACCCCTCAAAGATCAAAATTGAACCAAACGAAAGGCCCCGAGTGCCCGGCGGTGCCGTAAGCCGTGCTGGCGCGGACGGACGCCAACTCGGCGAAGGCACCAGGGGTGCGAAGAATCCCCGGGCGGCAAAGATCCCCCGTCAAACGACCTTGGCCCTGGCAACCTACAACGCACGCACACTGCGGACCGAGGAGAAGCTGCTGGAACTAGAGAAGGAATTGGGCAGGATTCGTTGGAGTATTGTAGGATTATCCGAAGTCCGAAGAGAGGGCGAGGACACGATGATCCTTAAATCCGGTAACCTGCTCTATTTCCGGGAGGGCGAAGATCTGTCCCAAGGTGGCGTCGGGTTTATCGTCCACAAGTCTCTCGTGAACAATATTGTACAGATCGGAAGTGTATCGAATAGGGTGGCGTACCTTATACTCAGAATCACCGAACGGTATTCGCTGAAGGTCATACAGGTTTACGCCCCGACCTCGACGCACCCCGACGAGGAAGTGGAAGCCATGTATGAGGACATTTCCCGGGCAATACATGGTTCCACGACCCACTACACTGTTGTCATGGGAGACTTCAACGCAAGGCTAGGCAAGCGTGACGATGAGGAGTTGAAGGTGGGGCATTTTGGATCTGGGATCCGGAATCACCGTGGTCAAATGCTAGCCGACTACATGGAGAGGGAAGGACTCTATATGATGAACTCCTTCTTCAAAAAACGGTTGCATCGAAAGTGGACCTGGAAGAGTCCGGATGGTGTGACAAAAAGCGAGATCGACTTCATCATGTCGACTAAGACTCGGATATTCAATGACGTCTCAGTGATCAATTCGTTTAATACGGGAAGCGATCACCGTATGGTAAGAGGCGCATTGAATCTAAATGTAAAAGCTGAACGGTATCGACTGGTGAAGTCTACGCTCCGTCCTGAAGCCACCCAGATCCGGGACCCCGAGCACTTTCAGCTCGAACTTCAAAACCGCTTCGATTGCCTGGAGAGCTGCTCGGATGTGGACGAATACAATGACAGGGTCGTAGAAGCTGTCCTTACGGTGGGTTCAAAATTCCTCAAACCTCGCCGTACTCAAAAAAGAAGCAAGATCTCGGAGCAGACAAGCAAGCTAATGGAAGAAAGGCGTGAAATGGTTCTGCAGTCTTCTGAGGATGCTCGTCGGCAACTCAATAGACAGATCTCGAAGTCTCTCACACGCGACATACGCCAATTTAATACTCAATGTATTAAGGAGGCGATTGAGCGGAATAAAGGCTCCAAAGTATTCGCTAGAGATCTGTCTCTCGGACAAAGCTTGCTGACGAAGCTAAAGACAGAGGACGGCAGAGTCGTTACATCCCGTCCTGAGCTTGTGGCGGAGATCGAACGCTTCTATGGACAGTTATACACAACATCACAGAAACCTGTCATTGAGGCTACAGACCCTAGAGCCAAATTAACCCGACATTATACCGAAGACATCCCGGACGTCAGTCTATACGAGATTAGTGTGGCTCTCAAACAGCTCAAGAACAACAAGGCGCCGGGGTATGATGGAATCACAGCGGAACTTCTGAAAGCGGGTGGACTACCAGTCCGGAAAGCGCTTCAGAAGCTATTTAATTCCGCCATACTCGAGGGCAAGACGCCAGAAGCATGGCACAGGGGCGTGGTGGTGCTTTTCTTCAAAAAGGGCGACAGGGCCCAATTAAAGAATTACAGACCAATCACGCTTCTGAGTCATGTGTACAAGCTGTTTTCGAGAGTCATCACGAATCGTCTCGCACGTAGATTTGACGACTTCCAGCCTCCTGAACAAGCCGGTTTCCGAAAAGGTTACAGTACCATAGACCACATTCATACGCTGCGACAGGTTATACAGAAGACCGAAGAGTATAATCTGCCACTATGCTTGGCGTTTGTGGACTATGAGAAAGCCTTCGACTCCGTCGAGACCTGGGTCGTGCTTAGGTCACTCCAGAGGTGCCAAATAGACTATCGATACATCCAAGTGCTGCAGTCACTGTACGAAAATGCCACCATGTCAGTTCGGCTCCAGGACCAAAACTCGAAAGCAATACGACTACAGCGTGGAGTGAGACAGGGCGACGTTATATCGCCGAAACTGTTCACTGCCGCACTGGAGGACGTGTTTAAGCTTTTGGACTGGAGAGAACTTGGCATCAATATAAACGGCGAGTACATGACGCACCTTCGTTTCTCTGATGATATCGTAGTCATGGCTGAGACCATGGAAGATCTAGGCACAATGCTCGAAGACCTCTGTAGAGTTTCCCAGCAAGTGGGTCTTAAAATGAACATGGAGAAGACAAAAATAATGTCAAACTCCCATGTCGTACCCACTCCAGTGAATGTTGGAGGCTCTACACTGGAAGCTGTCGACGAGTACCTTTACCGGGGACAAATAGTCCGATTAGGTAAGTCCAACTTCCAGAGAGAGGTAAGTCGACGGATCCAACTCGGCTGGGCAGCGTTCGGGAAGCTACGCAGTGTATTCTCGGAACATCTACCGCAGTGTCTCAAGACAAAAGTCTTTAATTCGTGCGTGTTGCCAGTGATGACATACGGTGCTGAGACGTGGCCGCTTACGATGGGCCTCATAAGGAAGCTCAAGGTCGCTCAGAGGGCAATGGAAAGGGCTATGCTCCGGGTTTCTTTGCGAGATCGAATTAGAAATGATGAGATCCGCAGAAGAACTAAAGTCACCGACATAGCCCAAAGAATTGCAAACCTCAAGTGGCAGTGGGCAGGGCACATCGCTCGCAGGACTGACGGCCGTTGGGGCGGTAAGGTCCTGGAGTGGCGACCGCGTACCGGGAGACGCAGTGTTGGCAGGCCCCCCACAAGGTGGACCGACGATCTGGTGAAGGTCGCGGGAAGCCGCTGGATGCGGGAAGCGCAGGACCGATCGTTTTGGAGATCTTTGGGGGAGGCCTATGCCCAGCAGTGGGCGTCTCTCGGCTGAAATGATGAAAATGATTTAATAACTATTACAATAAAAAGTGTTCATCTGAAAGAAGCAGGGTTGGATAGTTTCGGCTTGATTCTCATGTCACTATAACTCTACTACATTAAAAACGTTACCTAAACCCTTCAAATGTTTCGGCAGTATAGCTTTTTAATTTTGTCAGGTTATGTTGTATTCATAATTGTCAACATACGTAATCTGGGATTGTCATTCGTTGTGAATGCTACTATCTTTCTTGTTGTTATGCTGTTTTCCGTGATTAAGTTGTTATTGTTGTTGTTGTGTTATAGGTTAGTTTATCTTTTTGTTGTTAAGTTTTGTTAAATATGGACGATGCCGGTGCAGGCCCGAGTGGCCTACAACAATTACGCTCTCAGGTTAATCAAAGCCTACAGCGACCAAAACGTGGCCCCAAAGTTGACTGTGAAAATAAAACAACGTCTCCTAAGAAGAAGAGAATGAAGCAAAATCCACTGAGTTCTACAGAAAAGCAAACTGTAATTAATATTTACAAACAAATTAAGGAGTCCTGGCCTGTAGGTACTCCAGCTTTTAGAACGCAAATAATAAATAAAACTGCTGAAGTTGCAGGTAAGAAACCGAAGCCGGATTTTAAAAGAACTTCACTATATAAAATAATAAAGGATAAATTAAAATTCACTTATGTTAAAAGGAGCAGAAAAAGTGCACTCATTGACAAGCAGGAGATTGTATTGTGGCATGTAAAATATCTGCATGAAATAAAAAGATTTCACAATGAAGGAAGAAAGATATATTATTTAGATGAGACTTGGTTAAAGGTATTTTTGAAGGTATTTTTTTTTTCACTCTGGTGCCTACTATTAACATTTATTTCATATAAAAGGATTACAGTTAACTAGTAAATTTAAGTTCAATTAAAAGTCATGTGAATAATGTCATATATATCCATAAATATGTTAACCCTTAAATGCATAATGCCATCATTATGCATTTAAGGGTTAACATATTTATGAATTTGAGTGCGTAGGCTTGTGTATTGTTGCATGGCGATTTCTAATAGTGTAGATCGTAGACAGAGTAACTATTAGACGGAAGTACTGTGTGACCGGGTATGAGATAGCGATAACTCACACATATACAAGTACTTATTGATACATGTGTGCGTAAAGTGTTGCGTGAAATTAACTCATTACCTGATAAATGGGGAAATTTTACCATTTGTGGGATTTAAAGCTTTTTTAGCAATGTGTATTGCTTAAGATATGTTATTTTGTCTCAGTTATATTAGAATGACGTGAAGAGAATGCTAATAAGAAGGGTTTTAGAGTACTACACACTAGGGAATCTGTATAATTTGTTTTATCACGTCTTTACATTCTATCGATTTCAAATAAAGCAAAGAACACCCAACAACACGTACCCACTTCACTTCGTAGCAAATTGTGACTATTACGATCTATAAAGCTATAAATTATTTTTTATATGTCAACTCTATAGCTCATTCATCAGAGAAAACATTTATTCGACGTTATCCCAAAACCCCAAGTGAATCCCCTCCCTGCGCTAAACAACATACACGTTCTCACAAATTTTGATTTGCTATAAGAACTACTTCTATGTGCTTGAGACACAAGCAGGCAAATTAAATCATTGCCATTTCTCCGTCTATTGTTCCTTAGTTCTTCTACCGTCAATCTCAGTCTAAATTCATAACATAACATAACAATCTAATAAAATGACAAAATTGATATGGTTTGACCAAAAGTCGACACTAGTGACGCCATCTCGACGACAATCATTGCATCGGAGACGGAGTTGCTAAAAGTCTGGGCAGCTTATTTAACTTTCATAATTTGATTATGAAAATGTATATGAGCTTTTTTTAATTTGTTTGCATAGTGCAATCCTTCTTTTTCTTGTAATTCGTACAATGAATTCAAATATTTCCAGCTTATGGATAAGAGCAAATTTGGTTAATCTTTACATCTAAGTTTGATTTATTATATTATTGCTATGTTTTTCGTAGAGATGGGTCGGTCTTTTGCGTGCGGTGGGGAGGTATTGGGAGCAAATTTCGAGATTGAAATAGATATTGACGGATACTTCAAAAATATGTGCTCTGTTCATTTTAGTGTTTAACTTCCTAACCAACAATAATTACGATTACGGAAGTATACCTTATAGTGCTGCCATCTATTGACTAGTAATTCGAGTTTCTTTTCCTAATGCTTCCTCATTAAGCGCGGGAGAGTGATCATTGGTTGTTGCTCAGCATCACACGATGTTTTTAAATTACTGTAAACTAATTAGTAAATCGTGGATAGCATATTTGGCTACATGTTTAATTATTTAGGTGATATTTAATGTATCATTATTAATGAAAAATGTGTAGTTGTTAGCTATTCCTAATAAAGAGAGAAAAAAAAAAAGAGAGTCGGATAGGATCATCGTTTGGTTTAGATTATGTGATTCACAGTATAAGATGGCTTCCAGTATTGCAATTGCCTCTCCTGTGAATACGGACGATGGTGGTGGGATTTCAAAACTTAGAACTATTTTAAATTTGGGTATCCATGCTGCAGCTCCGACCTAGCTATTATCTGAGAGCTTTGATGCGTCTGTAAATATAAGGAGCCACTGTGGCCAATTTTCAGCAATAATTTTATTGAAGGCTTGGTTAGCACCGGGAGACTGTTTTGCAATGTCTAAACTAGGTAAAATGGGCGGGTCGAAAATTAAGGATTCAAAACTATTTAAATATAAGGGATTACACGGAAATTTTCCGATGGTTATTGAAGGACGGCTAAATTTTAAATAACTAGTAATTATACAAGGGACATTTTGGCGACGATTAGCGTTAATATTAGTGTTGGATACCTGTCCGACTGACAGGCCTCAGTAATAACTCTTTTAGAAGGCGCGTCGTTTACCTCGGGTTCAGTATCATTACGTCGTTTGAGGCTAGTCTGGGTAAATACTGGTAGGAACAAAATGACCGACACAGCCGAAAGTCTCAAGTTAGGTTACATGCAAACGTTCATTTTATTTGACAAATATTTAAAAATAGAGGAGGTGTAAAAATAGAGTAAAATTTTTAAATTTCTAAGTGTTGACAGCCCTATTACGCGCATGCGCAATATCGATCGTGTGCAGATTACAACGAACCACGTAATACATTAATTTAATTTAATTATTTACCGATATCTTAATGATAGTCGATGCTGAGAATGTCCACTTCCTCTCTGAAGACTGAACTAAGCACGCTCTTTTCAATGCCGCGCATGCACGCGCAAAACACATTACATTTCACACAAAACTAAACACAATCTTCACTAAACTAAACTTAACACTCAAGACGAACACTCTAGTATCTTATTAACAAAAATTCAATTAAAAATGCACTAGAACATAACAAAAATCGACAAAAAATACGCTTCGCAGCGGTGCGTCGGCGGCGATGCGCAACAACACTCCAGCGCAAAAGGTCGGCGGCGACTGAGCGGCCGGCAAAAACCGACAAAATAATGAAGCCGCCTGGCGGCTGGCTGGCGGGTGGAGCTTTGATATCGAGGGACGAACTCGGTTCACATTTTTTATAATCGTCTTTCGATATCACGCATTTTTTAATGTTCTTTTTAAATGCTATTTTAATAACAAATTCCTCAATGTTTTTAAAACAAAGATCATTTGTGTTAATGATGAATCGCTGGAAGATTTGTGAGTTTATCGAGTTTAATTAACGATCCCGTTGTTAAAGGAGTATTACCCCATTCCAACTATTTTTTTGGAGAATTACTCTTTTAAAATAACGTAGGTTAATGTTAGACTGATCTCTCTACAATAATTTAAGAAATTTTACACTCGGTTTCTTAATTGACAATTTAAAGTTAAACGTCTCAAACTAACATTACTTAGTTTTCGTTTCCGATTTTAGTTTTTTGATGATCAGTTGATAGCAGTTTGATAAAACTAGGACTATTTGACTTGTGAAATTAAAAAAACTTAGGTTATTGAGAATAAGCAGTAGAAATTTTCTACTTTTTTCAAATCAGAAACCGGCTGTTAGTCTGTAAATCGATTGAAGCATTTTGACTGCCTTGTTTATTGATTGTCTGGTAGAATTTGCATAAAAGCAGTCTTTTAAATCACAAACTAGTTTATTTTGTTTTTAGAAATGAAGAAGTCAATGACCGATTTAAAATTTTTCCTGAGTACGTCCCAAAAACAGCTGACTCAGGGTTGAAAACACTAATTTTTTTTCAAAACCTTTGTGATTTAATATCTCCGAAACTATTTGACCTAGACTTATAATTTTTTTTACATCATATTAAAGACAAATAGTACTCTCCAGGAACCTCGGGAGTGTCGGTCGTTTTGTTCCACCGAGTATAGGAGGTGAAAGTTCCATTGTTGAATAATGCGTCGGAGACCGGTCCGGTGGATCCGGTGGATCCACACCACCTTATGTTAGGACAAAACACAAACACTTAATTATATCGCAGTTCCGCGTAGAAAGAAGGCTTAAAATTAACAAAACAAACGAAATCCCTTAAACACGTGTAATAACAAACACTAATGAGGGCAGAATCTACTGTATGTTTATTATTTAAGGTTATTGCTGAAATAGCGTCAGCGTGGTCGGGAGAAATGATACTATGTTCCAGGTTGAATAATTATATTTAACTAAACAATATTCGTCTTATATACTACTTAAATCTAAGAGGGGGATATTAAGGTACGTGATATGTAACTGCTAAGGCAGCACATTTATCGAACGTGAATTATTTGCATATTAGTGCATTCTATCGAGATCACGTTCACAACATGATTCTTAATATCAACATACTACACCTCCCCTGAAAAGGTTAGGTGTCCCTCCCCTGAAAAGTACAATTCTTACTTTACAAACTTTTTAGTTCTATTCTTGTGTACTAGATATTCTTTGTTATTTTTTTTATCTTTATATTTGGCCCTATTTCTTTAACTACTATATACGGCCCTAAATACAAATCATTCGTTTTATTATAATTCTCATTTTTAATCCATATTAATTCACCTCTCTTATAATTTATTCCCTTAGATGTTAAATCATATTTTATTTTCCTATTTATCTTTGTATTTAATAAATTATTTCTAGCCTCTGAATGTGCTTTTTGTAACCTAAATTTTAATTCTAAAGGATAGTTATCATATACATATAAAGGTTCCATCGTGTTTTTCAAATTACTAGGAACATTACATATTTTTCCAAAAACTAATTCATATGGAGAATATTTGGTACTTGTATGAACCGATGTATTATATGCAAAGCACCAATATGGTATCCAAGTACTCCAATTTTCTGCCTGTTTGTTTGTTTGTATCCTTAAATAACAACCTAAATGTTTATGCCAATTTTCTAGGGATCCTATACTCTCGTGGTGATACGGAGTTGAATTTACTTTATTTATTTTAAGCAGTCTACATACATTTTCTAAAGTAGAATTAATGAATTCTGTCCCGCAATCAGTTGCTATACATTTAGGTATGCCATATCTTAGAATAAAATTTTCCACGAATGTTCTAGCTATTGTATTAGCAGTTTTATCCGTAATAGGATAAGCTTCTACAAACTTTGATAATTCACATTGTAATGTTAAAATGTATTTATTTCCTACGCTATCTACATCTAGAGGTCCTACAATATCTAAATAAATCTTTTTAAAAGAAGCAGATGCTGTGGTTGTTATGCTCATTTTTTCTCTGTTATTTTTGTTACAAAATTTTTGTCTTTGACAATCTTTACAGCGATTCACATACTCGATTATATCTCTATGCATATTATGCCAAAAATATTTCTTTTTTTATATTATTAGTCATTTTAGTAACACCTACATGGCCACTTGTAGGCAACAAATGATAGTCATTAAGAATAACACGAATTAGCTCCTTATCTGAGATTCTTTTTGCCCCGTTAACTATACATAAACGTGGTAAAGCTTCATTTTGCGTAAATCGATGAGCTAATGTTTTTATAATTTCCTTTTTACTTCCTTCTTTCATTAAAAAAACCTCTCTAATATTATAATTTCTACATAATGTAATCAAGTCTTCTATCGTTGCGTCTCGGCGCGCCTCCGTTAGTAAAGAATCTTGATTTATGTGAATTATAGAGTTACAAAATAATATATTTGCGGTGCAAAATCCCTTTACATTTTCCTTTGTCAATCCTTTAAATTTTTTACATGCACAAATGTCTAAGCTCACGTTCCCTTGTGTTTTTTTCAAC